AGTGTTTTATGCTGCCCCTGGGGAACCGACAGCCTCTGCAGAGGCCCTGCTGCAGGTTACACACGCGGAGCCTCTTCTAGTCTTGCAAATGGAAAAAGATTTGGGCTGCCCCCATGGGGGCACGAAGGAGCAGGCCTTTAACAAATCCCATAGTCTGCAAACACTGACACCATTTAAGAAGTGCAAAAAAAACATTTTTTGAAGAAAAACAACCTTAGCAGATTACATTTTTCGAAGAAATGTAAATTGAACCAAAGACTTACCACTACAAATTCAGCCATGATAAATACAAGAATAACTGAAATAATTAAAATGCATGTAAAGTTAGACTTTTCTTTTACCTCAATAGTCCAAAACTAGATACAAAAAATGTTTTCTTACTTAAAAAATTATAATGCATTCTAACATTATCATACCTTTACTATGATGTGCCCATCTAGAAGCGATGCTGAAGTGCCTCGCAAGAACTGCATTCTGCTGTTTCACTTTTCCACGCTTCCCTCCAGGTCAGACTATCTCTTGGATAAAATATTCCCTGAAGAGATGGTTTCCTTCTCCAGGAACAGGAAATCACGAGAAATGATAGGAAGTACAGCCTGATCCCCAATTCCATTCACTAAAGATGGAGCCTGAAGTACCCAGATTACAATTCCTATGAAGGGACTTTGAGAAGCACTTTCAGATGGAAATACTGAAGTACTCACCTTCAGCTAAAATATTTTTATACCCTATTTCTARTAAGAAATTATAGATTTTATCTGGAGTATTTTCCCCTGAGCCATAATTATTACGTAGTCACTTAAAACAAGAGCTCCATGTGAAACTGTCACAGCAGTATCAGAAAACAGTCCCTATTTCTCTTCAGAAAACCATGAGAAAGCACAGGGTTTTTCCAGAGAGCCTCCCCAATTTAAAAGCCAGAGAGGTTTATTTAAAATACTACACCAACAGTGAAGGCAGCAGACATTATTTTGGTTTTGTCTCACTGCTTTGGTAAAGATTAAAATACCAAGCCAACAGCATTGATCTTTTGTCACTGTCAAGATGCTTCCTGGGCATTCATCATTTACATAGCACATGCCAAAGTTTTAGTTTCTCTGCTTTTGCAAAAATCCTTGCAAAAGAAACACCTCGTTATGAGAGAAAATTATCACAGGTGGTGACTTTTTCAGGATCTTTACTGCTCTTACCTGTAAGGGAACATCAATTCTCCTCTGTCAGTAAAATAGTGCTGCCTTCTCCCCCTCAGTTTCTGGGAATAAACAACTTTCTCCATTCAGGTCAAACATATTCTGCAACATCTCAACAAAATAATCTATAAAAAAGGGTAAGAATGATGTGATCCATACAGTTTCACATTAGCAAACTGTAACACCTCGGATAATTTTTCAGTCCTGTATATAATAAATATTCACCTTTTAATTAGTCTGAGTAGAACAACTAGCCATCTTAGGGGTAAATGCCAACACACCACACATCTACTTTCATGCTCCTCCCTTCTCCTTTACCTGGATTCAGATTTTAGATGCATATCTGATTTTTTACCATTGCTGTTTTGCTATTCAAGTTGAGCAAAAACAATCACCCTTCATTCTGTTCCTCCCTTCTCACCGACTGCTCTCCCATCTTCCTAGACTAGTTCTAAGCCCGAGATCCACATTCAGTTCCTTTCAGTTCCTTGCAAAGCCACGCCAAGGTGCACTGTGCCTCCTCAGTAAAGCCATGGAATGYAGCACCGTTCCCTTCTTTAATTCCCATGTCTCACACCCCTCTTATGTGCTTCGGTTACCCCAGTGTCCTCCTGCACAGCGACACACGCTGCTCCCCTCACTGCAATGCAGGACACAGAGCGGTGCCACCAACCCGGGCTTCATGGGTCACCCCAATGACACCACTGACACCGCTCCCCCTCGGGGGGCTGCCCTGTCCACAGGCCATGGCCACACTCCAAAGGAAGGAAGCAAAAGCCACCACTCGAGATTTYAACTGCTGCTGCCTCCTAAGACTCCTCACCCAAATACATAGATGTTTTCCAGCAATAYGTGAAAGCACAGAAAGCATTAAACATAACTGGCAAATACCCACTTGGCCTTTGAAACCCTCTTCAAATCAACTGAGACTTCTTTTGCAAGCCTTGGAAAAGCATTTCAAGGTACCTGAAGAGGAATGGAGGGTCCCTCTCTCCATAACTTAGGTACCTACACCTGAACTACTTACCCCAGCTCCTATTGTGGTCAGCTGCCAGCCAGTCACACTTCATTGAAGGCTGAGATCAGATTTCTGAGAGGCAGCATTGAAAAGATCTTGGCAGCATCAGTTGTAACAAGATCAACCTAAATCCATTTTTGCCTGTAAGTGTAAATTTAAGTTACTGTGCATTTGAGCAAAATAGTCAAAACTGTCCTATTTTTTTTCCTTATAGAGCTTTCCCCCCCCCCCGCCCCCCTCAATCCATACTGTTTTACTGTTTCCAACTCAAAATTCGCTGCCGCCGCCTCTCGTGGCGGAGGAGCTGCTCAGACCGCAGCTCCCGCGKCCGGTTTCCCTGTGGAAGCTGCTGCCAAGGGGCGGGCAGCACGGGAAGCTGACGACCCCACGGCACTCCGGGGGCCCTTACTGAGTAATGAGCCACCTCAAAGAGGAAAAATTACTAAGAGCAAACCATTTCAGCAAAACTGGTACAGTAATTCACCTGGGAAGGTGAGGGAATCTCAGGGGATGTGAACAGKGTTCCCTGGACACAAAAATATTCCTGTGGTAGATATGGCAACACAGTATATAGTTGCTGTATACAAACCCTCATCCATCTTCCACACATAAACCAGCTTGGTTAAACAAATTAAGTTTTACTAAGTCAATACTAATCTATATGAAGAACATATGTATAGGAAATAAAAAGCTATTATATAAGCATTGAAAAACTCATATGCAAGTACAAGTGCTAATCATCTTTAATGGCAGGCATGTWATAAATAACATAAACCAGCTTTACAATAACATTCAAATTTATGTTTCAATGTAAACATGTAAAATTCGCAGATTTTTAGGGAAAAATAACAGATACAATTTAGTAAAAAGCCTTTTTTTTTTTTTTTAAATGAATGCAAAGGGTACTGTAAGCTGACAACAACTCCCTTCTTTCAAGACAATGCTGTATGTAACATGGAAACAAAATCTAACTCAATTAATTAATAACCTGATGGAATCAACTTACTGCTCAGTCACCCTCCCTGCTCTGCCACCCTTGGAAAGCTTCCACAGCTGCATCTGCAGAGCTGGCAGAGCTCAGGCTGGCTCAGTCCCTTAAATAACTGCACTCTTTTGATGCTTTTTATCTTTTAGAGCTTCATTCCGACATTAGCTAACGGAGTAAAACCATGCATATTCAAAACTATTAACTTCCTTCCAATAATAAGCCAATATCAGTGGCCTAATAGCTGAAAATTTAATTGTTTCTATTTAATTCAAACTCACTTCCACTTTCTTTGGAGCATGACATTGGTTATGAATAACTCGCTTATCAATAAGCAATCAAAGGTACATGATCATTGGTATTATATACTTCACTACAGCAGGAAGAGATGGTACCAGTACTCATATGAAAACGTAATTACTTTTTAAAGTCAATTACCAGCTGGTAGGAAATGTGCTCACTTTTCCTATGAAGGCCTCCAGGAACCGGAAGAAATTTTGTTTCTAGAGAACTGGGAAGAAGAAACATTCCATCTTCTTTTAATTTGGCAATTATTAACTTTTTTTTTTTTTTGGCAGCAATTTATTAAGGTAGGAGGAGAAAAAAAAGAAAAAAAAAAGCAGTACAATTCAACAACAACAATTCCCCAAACCCCACATCTTCTTCAAGTCTAAAAGCACATCTTGAAAAAACATGGGAGTAGTTGAGATTTGAAATCAAGTAAATAACAGTAGTATTTTAGCAATAAATATTTCACATTATACATGAAATTATTAGCTTGAGTTTGTTAAATTTTTTGTGTAATTCACCTGCTTTTTGTACTTGACATTTATTCGTAACTGTAACATGCAGTAAAGCACAAACTCCTTCAGATGCGTCTTTGTGCAATTTTTGATGCAATTTTCACTACAAAAGTGGCAAGTATCAGCACAATTAGATTCATAAACGCAGTTGAATGTACATGAAACAGCGGTATGTAATTTTAGGAAGCTCATTTGTAACATGGAATTATATCTCCTGAGTGACATTGGCTGAAATAAACATTTAGGTTCCCCTATGCTCTCTAATTTGGGTACCTACAAATTTGTAATTTGTTGCATCACATGCAACAAAGAGGGGGAAAAAAAAAAGAAAAAGAGCAATCTGTCAAAAAAAGCTTAACAAGCTGTCAAAGGGCTGGAAAAAAAAAAAAAAAAAAAAAAAAGTCACCAAAACGTCAGCATGTGGAGTGAGACTGACAGGTCTGGTCCCCTGTGCAGAACTGCCCACCTCAGATTTATCGTTATGCTCGTGCGCGCTCCTCAGGAGCGCACGGAAGATGCTGCATTCCCACAAAACCGAAGCTCTGCTCCAAGCAYGGCTATTTGCCAGGCCTATGGATGCTCCCTCGAGCTGTTCTGGCTAACAGGACAGACAGCAGCCTGCATTTAACATCACACAGACCTTGGTGAAGGAGAAGTGGGTGTGGAAGGGGGATGGAAGCAAGTTGTGAGCCCAATGTTTGCTGCTTTTCATTTTCACTGCATGTTTCATGTTTGCTCACTGCCGGGGTAGAAGTGGAATAAAAATCTAATAAAAAAATAATAGTTTGAAATAGAGCTGGAAATTTTTGCAGAAAAAAAATCTAGAAAAACAAATAAATAAATCATTTCAGCAGAGAATCAATCATCTTACAATAGCACATGATATTTAAGTAGCACTGGTAATACTGCTATCATAAAATAACTACAATTCCAACCAAAAATTAAGAAAATGCATCTCCCCACTCTGCTCCTATATGTTTCATTCTGCTACAAATCTCAATATAGCACAAAATTACACAAATATTTTACCGTAGAGCAAGAATACAGAAAAATTTCTGCATGGATTTAAGTGCTCACTTCTTCCCCAAAGATACTCCTTACCAGCATTCGGCAGCCTAGATTTTAAAATAACATTAAAAATAGATGAGCAAGYGGCACTACTCCTCCATTAACCCATCAGGTTTTCGGGCAACAGGCAGGTATCCAGCTCCCATTGAGGGTGCTAAAGCAAGGCATTTGTGATACTGTTTATGGAAACCATTATGTGCTGTAAAAAAGAGAACTAGGGCTGAGGAATAATTCTTTAAGGAATGTTCTGCTTCCCCAATTTTCAAGAAAAAAAGCAGACRCTCATTTTAGAATTAATGGTCCACTGTACTTTCAGAAGAGCTTCCATAAGCCTCCAGTTATATGTGAAAAACATATATATAAAAAAAACCTCTCGCAGGGCAGCGAGAGCATTTTTTTTGAGGGAAGGCACAATTTTAAGTGCTGCAACATTTCTAGACTAATATATATTTACTAATATAAATACAGCATAACTTAGGTAATGCTAAATGTGAAAGTGACACCTAGTTTCTACACTTCCAGATTATACGTGGTCCTCTTCAAAAACACTCCATTTCTGTCAGCTTCTCACTGCACTCTCAGGAATTATCTAGGTCCCATGACCTTAATGGTGCAATGAAGTTCAATTAATAAAAGATCAATAAAACAGCCATTAGACACTCCTCAGCTCACACACTGCCAGGTAGACAGGAATTTACTTTTTAGTTTGAAACTTTTTCTGAGGAACTTCTGTACAACTGTGATTCTGAAGAGCCCACAGTGCAAATGCTACTGTTTTATGAAGCTGCAAAATCACCACATTTTTAAGGAGCTTAATTTAAAAGGAAATTTCTATCTCACTATAATAAAAATGGATTTTATTTTGTGGTAATGAGGACAATATTGCACTTAATGGAAAATGCTGCATATAAGATGAATACCGTAGGAAAGGCCTAAAACCATCTTGTATTTTGGGCAATTTGAATTTTCTTGGATCTTATTTGAATCTTCSCTAAAGCTTGTATCTTACTGTACAGGTTTGCCTTTACACATTATCCTTAAATATTTAAGCTATAAACCTTAGTTACAAATTAAATATTCAAAATCAGTAGATTTTTAAACACATTGGTCAACTCTCACAGTGCTGTAATCAAAATCTTCTTCTTTCTCACCATAAATAACAGCTAATAACAGTCTGCAAGGTGAGTATCAAGCAGCTATGGAGGTACTGAATTCAATATAAACACTGTATTACAGCAGTGCTCAAACAGGTGCAAATATACAGTTGTACACTGTGAAATATAAATAGCATTTTTAAAAATAGTTGAATAGAGGAATCCAGCATGAAAACAAGTTACTAAGTCTAACTGATGATTCTCAGAAGTGAAATACTGTAATAAATTCCAACTAATCCTTAGCATTTATGCAGTACTTTACTTTTTTCAAAGGCTATATAAATGTTAACCAGTTACAGGGATGAACTGTGTTTTCAAGGGCAGAGCACAAGTTCAGAGTGAGTGGTGATCAAATGAACAGCACCATGACAATAGAAATAGAATTTAAGAATTTTCAGCACTACATAGAGACTGAGTGCTTTATAACAGCCCAGCCAAGTGGAAATTTTAATGGAAGATCTCACATTTTACAGGGGAAAGTGCAGACAGACATTATTACCATGGTGAAATGTGTTTCCAGACCACAAGGAGTTGACATTGCAGCTTTAACTCCATAACCTTAGGATCCCGGCTTAGAAGTTAGGCATAAGGAAMACTTTCCAGTGATAAACAGAGAGCTTAAGTTGGAATGCAAACAATTTCTAAGATCCATCATCCTTATACATCAATGTGGATTCCGTGTTTTATAGACATTAATTCTCTAGTGCCTGTTAAGTACATAATAAAGGAACATAGATGAGGTAAAGATGCTGTAATTGCCACATACAGCCAGTATGGCAAAGGCGGAGTTTTCCCAAGAGGACAGATCCAGAGGCCGTGACGAATCCCATCACGGACATGATGAGAAGTCCAAGATATAAACAACATCCAGGGAAGAAAGCACCATGAGTCCTTAAGCCTGAAAAGGTGCATGATAAACTTTAATGTCAGAGCCACAACAGGAATCACAGTAGAACAGTGAAGAAGGGGTCTCTGTGGAAGAGTCAGGGCAGCCTGCAGAAAAGAAAAATACAGTTGGCAATGGCTACAGGTGAGATACGAACAAAGACCTCATGGATGTTTAGAGGTCTGTCATCAAGTGGCTGATGAACGGAAAGGCAAAGAAGAAGGTATTTTTTCTCTACACTCTAGCTGGTCCAAATCAACAATATCAACATTCAAATGGCTGAGTGTTGTGCACTGCCTCAGCAGCAGCAGAGCTCTAAGTGGCAGGGCAGGACAGGACCTTTCTAGCACACAGAAGTCATGCACCCTACCGAGCAGCAGGAATAGCAAACCAGGAAGAGAGGATGAAGCACCATGCTTGCCATTTAGTCATTCAGCATAAAGGAACCCGCACAGTATATCCTGCAGCAACTATGCATCATTTCAAGACAACTTAAAAGAGAAAAGCACACATTTGAAATATTTAATATGCTTCATTTATATTCAGGAAGACACTGTGAATTATATTACTTACCYTCTGTGATACACTAATTTGCCAACACCTAATACAAAGCTGTAGTGGCTATTACCACACCAAGAACATGATGAAATTCACATAAATGTTGATTGCCTTGGCAAAGTATTCCTAACTGACATGGAAGAGACAACATTTGAGTAAGCTGTGATTGGGGGTTCTGATACTAGTAACTTGCTTTATATTTCTTCAATGAAAGCCTGATATTTGRTTTTAATGAAGGTAAATATCGAACTAGTAAGTCTTCATTACAAATAGACTGAATCCAATCTTTTAAAGAAGTGATAACCCACATACTTGAGAAACCCTTCTGGATATACTTATTAGGAACCGCTGGAACTATCTCCATGAACTCAAAAGATAGAAGAAACAATGTTTTGGATCTAATATACTAGTTTCTGGAAGAAAAGGAGCAATAAAGGCACATTACTAGAAGATCTATGTAGGTGAGAAATGACAAGCATAGTGCATAAAGCATGAGCATAAAGCACAAGCATAATGTCAAGCATTTTGACAGTCAAAGCTCCTAAACCCCTCAGCAGACTCTGGTTACCAAATGCCTGGGAACTAATGTTTAGCAGTTCAGCAGTATGACTTTRTAATTCAGCAGCAAAGATGCTTCGATGGTTACCTTTCAGTAACTTCTTCCTGCTCCCCTGAAGTCTACAACTTGAAATTTCAGTTATACTCATTACATTTTCGCTCATTCAAGAAGGTTTTCTTCAGGACCTTTCAGAGACTCACCAGACTAACTCACAGTAACTTCTGTTCCATTAACATAATCACGGTTTGCTGATGCAATATTAATTGGCTCCATTTAAATGTGGTGAATGTTTGGAAAGACAGTAACAGGCACCTGACGTGACGACAGTGCATCAGGTTGTGCGGGACACGCATCAGTGCATCCACTGCTAGCAGCAGAGTGGCACTGCAGGACACGACCAGCATTAACCAACCCAGGACGTGGCTATTACTGTATCTGTTTTTGCAAAAACCAGGAAGAGCTTCCAGTTCTTGAGCTCCTGTGGTCATTGCAGACAAATGTTTCGGCCCTGCCTTCTCTGCAAAGAAACTGATGTCTAAATTTTAGCCAAGAAAGTAAGTGATGGGGAGTTATGGACTTCCTTGGGGTATAATTGGCTTTGAATAAGGGTACAGGCCATGTTAAAAATTCTGCAGAAAGCTTTGCTCCATTAGTTCCCCCAACATTTGCCTGGGACCCCTGGGCAGGTGCCTGGGAAAATGCTCACAAATACAAAAACAGCCCCACCAAAGTCTCGTAATGCTCTCAACAACTTTTAACTGTCACATTATGGAACCAACTCCTTTGACTTGGTGCAAATGTATAGTTTTCTTTTTTTTTTCCTCTCCTCATTACTGTGAGCAAAAGGGCCTAAGTTAGATTTGTCAGCAAGAGAGTCCATATGGACTAAAAAGTCCATACCAATCTATTTTTGCAGAACTGTCCTTCATAGGGATACATTCTGGCAGATCCTATTTACTGGTCATAGCCTCTGYCCATTTGTGGGGGTGGCGTGGGGAGGAGGGCAATGTTTTAATTGCAGACCATCATTGGGCTTCTCAAAAGCTCCTCTCCAAGTTAATGATCTGTTTTCTCTTTTACACTCAGTAACTAGAAGAACAATTCCTTAAGCAAGGATGCCAAGCCYCCATATTTCATATTTAGAAATATAACCTCTCAAGTCTTCTCTGACACCCAACAAGCAGATTTGTTTCGAAATCATCAATTCTTAACAAACAAGTACAAGCCTTAATCTGCCTTAATCTGGAAACATGAACTGGCACAAGGRGGGCAGATTTGGGGAAGTTTACCATGACAGGTCAGGCTGCAGTCACTACCAATATTTGCTTATGACTCAAATGACCTTTTCCATACACCTCAATGTTCAGTCAGGGGCACGACCCAGCACTGCTCACATACCCAGATAAGATGCTGGAGACAGGCACAGCATTGGGAGCTCCCTCACAAATGGGAAGCTGCAAGACTGGCACAATTCCAGGCTACTCACCCTGAAAACTCCATARCAATAATAATAACAACAATGAAAATAAGAATGAAACCATAAAGTAGAGCAGAGCAGCCACGCYGAGCATCATGCTGTGCTGGCAGCAGCAGAACTACGGAGGAGTCTGGAGGCAGTAAGTGCAGATAGATGACGATACTGCCTTATGTTGAAAGGATGGGTTATTCAAAAAAGTCACCTATCATCAGATTTTAGAGTGATAACTAATAGTTTTATAATTGTGTACTGTCTTGTGAAAAACACTATAATTACTAATTAGTCATAGTGCTGTGGTTAGTCAATTAGATTAATTCCAATGTTGCTTCAGCAAACATTGTAGTCTTAAATCATGAACTCTCAAACCAGTAGTATGAACAGGGAGAATGGCATTGGTAAAGTAACAAATAATTAATAAAAAGGTAACTCAAAGTAACAATCTGTAGGAGAGTACTTCAGTTGCAATAGCAATTGCAAGAGGAGGACCAAATTGGAATTCAAATTCTCTGCTATATGGAAGAGTCTGGAATCACAAGACAAACTGAGAAACACATCACACCAAGCTACAGAAAAAAAAAATCAAATATAAAAATCAGGTCTAACTAGCCAGGCAACAACACAGCAAAAACTCTATGGGGATTACATTAGATTCCAGCTAAACACTGTGATGGATTCGCAAGGAGACACAAAACCTGCAAGAGATTTTTTTTCCCCCCTAAAAACAAACAAAGCCCCCCAGATGGACACAGCATGAGAAACATTAACCTGTGCTTTGTGTCCCAAATAAGGTCTCGACCAAAATACTCTCTGCAGTTTGGGACAGAATCCTTTATGATCTTTTAGGCAAGAATCAATTAAAAAAAAAAAAAAGCAGAAAGAAGTCTAGAAATTCAGATCCTCTTGCCATCTTGGGGGAGTTATTTAGTCAAGAAGAGACTTTCTGGAAGGCAGAACATGTTTACAAGTTGTAAGAGCACCCTCTGACAGCTGTCTAGAGATGCACAGAAGATAGCATTTGTATACAGAATAAACAGCCTTTCCTAACCCAATTAACATATTTGAGGTGGGAGGAATTAACTAGGTAAGTAACTATGAAAAGGTCCTCGGGCTCTTTGGGCAATTTCCCCGCTCCTTTTTGTTGTGGAAGTCGAGTCTTTAAAGGGCTATTCTTCTGCCTGAAGATCTTCTGTGTTTGACAGAGCAGAGCAGTCAGCTATTCTCTAAAGCTTCCTTGGGAGAGAGAATAAAAAAAGACCAAACTGCCAAAAATGACAGTTTAGGAGAAAAAAAAAATTAACTTATAATATTGCAAATTTAGTTTTGCATCATGGAACGTGTAGGTGTATTTGAACTTGCCTCACTGAAGAAGGGACACCTCCCAGTTCTTGAGAATCCTACAGTTCTGTGATAAAATACAATACCCAGAGCTTTCTAAGCTGACATTGGTGCAGAATGCCATCTAGCGGTGGTGATCAAGGAAAAATGTTTTGATAATAACTGTAAGAAAGTATTAAGGATGTTGTAAAAATTAATTATTTTTAATAGTTTTAATCATTAGGCATTCATTAGCGTGTTCATCGATTCTAAAGAGAAAAACTTATATATAATATTAAAATGATATAGGTGACTACAGCTTTATAATTTCCAAATGTAAAAAGATGAGTAAAGGGAAAAAAATGCTTTCTCTGTCAAAGATGAATATAGGGGAAACTGATCAGATAAAAAGTTCTGCCAAATGAAGAAAATTTGAGCATCTTTTAATTAAGGCAGATATTTTATATGCAGATACTTTATATAGACAAAGATGATATTCTCCCAGTGGAAGTCTACCCTATAGATCTCTGTAACAAGCAATGCTACTACCTGCATTCACCACCCCTGCCAAATTTAAAAAAATAAAAATAATAAAATATATATATATATATATAAACAATTTTGCACAGTTCCATTTAATTAAAATTATCTGGGAAAAAAARCAGAGCGCCAGAGCTCTGGCTGAGGAGCCTGCTGGGTGCAAGGAGCATCTGCCCTGAGCTCATGCAAGGGGTCTGGAATCCCAGGGCTGGCACTGCTGCGGCTTGGGGAAGGTCCATGTGCTTTGGAAAGCTGGTGCTCAGGCAAAAGCTGGGTATAAAGGTTTGAAGTTAGCAGGAAGATACACTCCTAAAGAGTAGCCAGTTCACTTACTGCTTTTTATTAACAAGTTTGACACTTGTTTGAGTTCCTGCTACAATCAACYTTATTTTAGGACAAACTCAGAATAACTTAAGACTGAACAAGTCATATAGTGCTTGCTATTTCTGCTCTCCAATTTATTAAGTACCTAACACTGAAGAAACTTTAATCTGCAAGTCTGGTCGGGGAAAGGAGAAGGGAGGGCAGGTAGGGCTAGATATTTCTCAGTAACACAAACTGACARTGACAGAACAGCAGAAAATAAGCAATCACTAATCAATTTACTCACCTTTAAGGATAGGGAGCCAGCGAGAACGAAGTGATCCACATCAATGACGGAGGAGAGGAAGCCAGCCAGGGCCACCTCAGTGAAGTCGCTTTTCTTCCTGAGTCCAATGACGATTGCCCAGGACCACATCCCTAGCACACCATGCACTGCATTGTCAGCGAAGGCTCGCAGCCAGTCACTTTGCTGGATGAAGGAAAACTGCAAGAGTCTGTCCACTACAAAGCAGAATATTCCCAAACACAGGCTAGAAATAACTGAAGCTGTGCTGAAGGTCTGGAGAAGAGCATGGGCCTTTTCCGTCTCCGATGCCATTGCAAAAACCATGTCACTACTGCACACAAAGGGCTGCCGGAATATTCACTGAGCATTGTCCTCTTTAACTTCAGTTGTTCTGAAATATCAGAAAGAAGAAAAGGAAAAGTCTTAAAGAAACCTATACTTCMGAAATGTGTGCATTTCTACCCTGGTTCATCTCTCTGAGCAACTCATAGTTTATCCTGCGGAACAGTAGGAAGAATAAGGGTTATGAAAACCAAGACCACTAAAATATCTCCAGTATTTAAGATCAACACAAATCTGAAGATATCTATCAAGAAGTAACAAAAATTAATTTCTTATAGAGCAAAACACATGCTTTCCCTCAGGATTTGCCCAGCAGGAACACCTAAGATTCTTCCAACATTTGCCACATTTACTTTAAAAACAATTCCTCTTACAGGAATGACAAAACGATGAAAGAAATAATGCTGTGTATTRATTTTTTTTAAAGGCATTGATATTTGTACTAATGATTGATTTTTATCACTTACAAATCTTTAAATATCTATTTATATTCCATGATGGTTACAAAACCCTCTGGTATGAGCTAATTTTTTGAGACTAACATAAACAAACTTAAATGACTGCTTAACACCTCAAAAAAAAAATTCCAAATGAAGTCAAATCCACACAAGAAACCGCAGAATACCTTAATCATAAAGATACAGTATTCRTTTGAGTGATAATTTTAAAAAGTGCGTTCCACATAAAAACTCTCATAATYGATGCATTCCCTAGCTTTGCTACATTAAGTGGGAACTAAAAAAGCAGACTTCAAAGCAAAATATCAATTCTAACTGTATAATTTACTGTTATGCTTTCCTCTCTTTTTGAGAGGTCATGGAGGATAGGATGAAATGATGSTTTGAAAACAGGTCCTTCCCCAGAAGTTCTTACTTCAGTGCAGTACAATAAATCTCGATAAGCAGAATGTTCTTTCTTCAAACAGTTCTACCAAGTGAGAAATTTATTCTAAAGAGATTTCTTTGAATTTTAATCTTTCAATTAAAAATTATTTCTAACACTGCTGGCACAAAGCGTTTTATGACTTTATGACACGTCATTAACTATAAGCCCACAATAAGTTAAATCCTTATTCTGTTTTATCTATGTGCCTGTTTGTTGTAGAATTATCCACAAATATGACTGCAGTCACTGATAACCATAGAGAAAAAGCTCAATGAAGTGCTTATTTGGAAAATGTTAAGAACAAAGAGAAGAAAACATGAATAATACAAAAGCTTTGCACAGAGATGAGAAAAAGCAGGTCAAGTTTAGACTCTGTTAACCACGACTGTCTCTTCTGTATAATCATGTAGACAAAAACTGTTTCCTGAAATATATTTTATCACAGTAACTTTAAAAAATCCAATATATTTTTGAATAAATTCCATTTTAAGGGACAAACGGCTAAATCTTTARAAGTATCATTTAAATATAACCATCACGTTAGGTCAGATTTTACCTGAGACCCATATAAAACCTGACCGGGAAGAACTGATGCAGCAACATATCCTTAAAAAGCACACGAACATTCAGATCTCAACAACTTGCCTTCAGACAGGAGGACACATCTTTTTTTTTTCCCCCGCTCACTGCACTTGCCTTGACTTATTCCAGTAAGAAATTAGGTCTATCCCTCAGGGTTCCTCTGGGGCTGCTGGATCCTGGCCAGTTCCATCAATGCAGAAAGGACCAATTCACTGCACACCTGAATCAATGAACCAAGGCAACAGTAAGCACAGAGACTGAAAAAAGCTCTGTAAAACATGCATTTATATTGAATATTCAAAATAGACAAGGAAGTAATATCTTTTTAAAGAATTCCTAAGTAAATATAATTCAGCTGCAAGTAACTTCTGCTAGGGCTTAGGAGATCTGTAGAAGGTTTAAAAAAAAAGTCAGACTGTAACACAACACAAAGGCACAAATAAGGACAGAAGACAAAATAAACAAAAATTAAAAAAACACAGAACAAAAATAATGAAATCCAATGCCAACGAGTCACAAAAGAGTCTTAAGCCTTTATTTTAGGAAGTTTCTATTTTAGTTTCTGTTTAGGAACTGCATATCAAAATATTCAGAATTTATTTGAACAGATTCTTCCTTGTAGCCATAAAGATTCCTTCTTTCATGAAACACGAGTCACATCTAGGGAGCCTTTTTAATGTAATCCCATCAGTTAATAACATTAGCACTGGTAGCAGAGGTGCGTAAATATAAACAGCAACGTGGGTTCCTGCCAGTTCTTACGCTGCTGTTCTACTGGTAGTGTTAACACATGCATAAAATATACAGGAAAAAATCCCTATGAACTTGAAACAATCCTCAACGAGTACCTTTGAGGATGAAATAAACGCACAAATGAAACAAATAAAATAAAGGTAACAATGACAACTAGAAAACAAGACCAAGACACATGCGGGTGTCTTTGATYGAGGACGCAGAACCCCATTTCGGATCAGCCTTGCCCAGAAGGGCTGGTGTTTGTGGCATTACTGCTCTTTTAAGCACTACTTCCCATGAAACTAYCTATCGTGCGCTAGTAATTTTTCAGGAAAAACATAACACCAGCAATATTTACTATCTGCGTATACTCCTTTATCCGGGAATACAGTCTGATAAAACACAGGATATTCTCGTTCCTGCAAACCGTGAAAAGGCCAAGCTACCCCACGGCACCAAGAGGAGCAGGGCTCTGGCTACGAGACCAAACCCACACTGTGTTACTCCACCTGGTGAAGCCAGTCACAGGGGAAAAGGACACGAAGGAATTGCAGATTAAATATTCTGGGGTCAGATAACTATTATGCTGAGGAGTGGGGGGACATGAAGGAGATGTCTGGAGAAGGAAGAGGACAAAGCACCTCCTGAAGCCTGCAAACCGTCTGCAGAGCTCAGCAAGATGCTGAGGAGCAAACTCAACTTAAAATGACAGTGAAATTAAGGCAGGGGAGAACATTAAATCACGGACCTGCAACCATGCAATGAAGCTCTTGATCTCAGGAACTAAAAATTAAAGAGGAAACCTAAAAACTTCCTCTTTAACGAGTGATTGAGATTGGAGGTATCTGGGAGCAGGCAAAGAGTTGAACCGAGCACCCTGAAGGCAGGTAGCAGCCCTGAACGGATCCAAACACCACTAAGTTGCGGAACGCTCCGTTTCTCACGCGGAGGGAAACGAGGCACAGCAGCGGCAGCGAGCACCAGCCGAGCAGCGAGGCTCGCGCGGCAGCCCCGCTAACCGCCGCCGCGCGAGCACGAGCGCGAGCCGCCCGCAGATGAAGGCGGCAGCCGCCGCCGCTCCGGGGGCAGGGCCGAGCCCTGGAAGCGCCCACGCTGCGCAGCCCGGCACGGACACGGCTTCCCGCCCGGCCCCGCGCACAGAGCGCGGCCGCGGGCTCCTTCCCTCCACCCC